GGGAGGAACATTGGAGGCAGCCATTCCAGGAAGGCTCAAGAACATACCCAGGTGAAGGAACCGGGGCTTTATTGGGTGACATGCAATCAACAACAGAACTGACCTGATTTTATTTCAGTAAATCAGGAGGACTGAGTTGGGATTTGGAAAGATGTGAAATATACACGGAGGTAAAAAATAAAGACTTATTTAGATAACTGCACAGCTGTTTTCCTATGAACTGCATTTCTAGCAGTAAACTTATCCAATCGAGAGGGAAGACAATATCAAATAAGAAAAATTTCCATTTTTTCCTGAAATTTAGCATGGTTTTTTAAAGCAGCTAGAAGCAGCTTTTAAGGGTGAGGTTTCCTTTTTATAAGAAAAAACACGTTTCAAAGGCAATTGTACAAAAAGACTTTCTAGCTAGTTGCAACAAAATCTTCAGGATCTGGAATTCAAAGCACTACTTCCCTAAAATACCTGTTATATATAATTCAGAAATGTAAAATGGAAGTCCCCTAAGTCAATCCTTCCCACAGAAAAGACAGTCAATTTTCAAAAAGCAAAGCGTGATCCTTCATTTAAGACTTTAATTAAAAAGATTAAAAAATAAGAACTGCCTTTATCATGGCCTAAGTTAGAATTACTTAATTCCTGCCCTTCTAAAATGTAAAATAAAACAAGGCTGTTTGAAGAGTTTTGAGAAAGAAAAAGAACACTATAGGAATCCAGCACAATAAGACTGCTGAAATCAGAGGATTGCCCTTCAACAGTTACATGCTGGTATAAGACCACATTCCACAGTATTTTCTTAAGCTGGTTGTAAAAACTATCTAGAAGCACGTGGCTATAACTTCACAAGTGAAGAATGGGATACAAAAAAGATAAATGCTTCACGTACAACAACGGAACAATGCAGAGACAGAATGAAAAATAAATAAATTTCCACATTTCAATATTATGGTTAGAAAGAACACAAATAGGGCATTTCTGAAAATGCCCACAGACTTTGAAAGTATTTATATTTAATAATAATATAAATATCATTAATTTAATTCTAATAATACTTTACATTAAGTTTTATATTCTTTAAAATAATTTTCATATAAACAAACAGTAAAATATGCTCTTCATACCTTCTGAACTCCTGACAAATCTTTCCTCAATCCTGTAACAGTTTGGTATAGAATCTTGTACCCAAAAGGAAAAAAACAAAAACAAAAACCAATAATCAACATAAAGCTAAACAGTGAAATACACACATTGCACTATTACGAATACTATGAGCCATAGCTTGACTTAATCTTTCTACAACATATACATAACATCAAAACATCACATTGTACCCCATAAATATGTACAATTATTATTTGTCAATTAAAAAAAAGTTTACACTTCAAAAAAAAAAAAAAAAAGAGAATACTGTGGGCCAAATACTATCTTCTGTTATTATAAAAAAGGTACCTAAAATTTATCTCATAGTTACACAGAAAGTTTATAGCATGGGTATTATTCTTGTCTACCAGGTGTATCAGACCCATAGGCCAAATCCAACCAGCTACCTGGTGGTTTTTACAAATGAAAATTTGCAATCAATTTGATAACAGCAAATGTTAACTTTGAACCCCAAATAAGTAAATTTTGCCCCTCAAATAATTTCATTCTTCTATCACTGGCAGACCTGTATTACAAAAAGGCATATTCAATTATTATTAAAGTGTTTTTAATTCATGAATAAAAATTTGGAAGAGGGCCGGCCCGGTGGCGCACTGGAGAGTGCGCCGCTTGGGAGTGCGGCGGCGCTCCCGCCGAGGGTTCGGATCCCATGTGGAGACCGGTTCCCGCTCACTGGCTGAGCGCGGTGCGGGCGCAACACCGAGGGTTGCGATCCCGTTGCCGGTCCCCGGTACGGGCGCGACACTGAGGGTTGCGATCCCGTTACCGGTCAGTAAAAAAGACAAAAAGGAAAAAAAAATAAAATTGGAAGAAAGTTTTTCTCTCTTATTACATAAGGAGCTACATATATACATATAGTCTCAATTTTGCTTCTAGACTTGCAAAGCCTGAAATATTTACTATTTGGCCCTTTAACAGAAAAAAATTTTTCTTGAAATATGTATGTTAATGAAATATATATGTTAATGGATCTAGTACAACCATTTATAGCCTAGACTTCTATACGAATCTTCCTTTTTCTGTCCTTATAGTCTACTGGACTCATTCAAATGTGTCACTCCCACTCATAAGCACCAATGAATTCCTTTTACATCCAATGTGCACAAGGGATATGTTCAGGCAAAGGGAACTAGCCATCTCACTAGCTCAGAAGCCAACATTTTTTAACTTAAAAAACCCAAGCAGGTTTAAGACAGTGCCCTTCTTCTGTAGACCTGCTTGCTAAATACAGACGAAGCTACTCACATTGTCTTGTTGGGCATTCATGGCCATGTCTTCTTCCTTCAGTTTCATGATTATGTCCATGTCCCTCTCATAATTTTTTACTTCTTTCAAGGTTCTAGGAATATATGCTTGCTTAAACACCTAACAGACAGGAAAAGCAAAACCGAAACTGTTATTTTTACACTTCTCACATTCACTCAGCATCCTCACCCCCACCAAGTCATAGAGGGATCTCTATTCACCGTCATCTCCTACACTGGTTGTCAGCCAAGTTCTCTGCACATGCTGGTGTTGCAGCTGCTATGTGGTGTGCCAAAAGTAATTTGTTACTAATGATAAAACACTACATTTTGCATATAATTTAAGGGAAAAAGAAAATTACAGCTGAATCAAGGTTATCCTTAGAATACTTTTCCTCCTCATTTGTGTTCCAGAAAGTTAGCAAGCGTTGTCTGGCTATGCCTTACAAGGAAACATGTTTTTACATGGGAACATCAGCTACCCAGCTGCTACCATGAAAAAAGGTCAAGAACTGCTGATGAACAGATGCATCTCGTATTCATCCATCATAAAAAAGCCCACCATGGCTCTGTCACAAAACACCCTGATTCCCTAAACTAATTTTATTTTTACCAAAGCATAAATATTTAAAATCTACAATATTTCTGGAATTAATGTTTAAGTCATTTTAAAATTCACATTTGCAAACTAAAAATAGGCTTTCATTCTTGACTCATATAACCCAACAGGCTCTAAAAATTTTCTCAGGCTGGCCAGTTAGCTCAGTTCTTTAGAGCACAGCCTTACAACACCAAGGTCAGGGGTTCAAATACCCGTACTGGCCAGCCATCAAAAAAAAATTTTTTTCCCCTCAATCTAGGACAATGGGCTAATAGGTTGCTGAATGGAACAATATAATGAAATGTAAATTATACCACTTGGCTCAGTTAAATTATGTGCCATATTACGTCTCAAGGAAATATTATCATTTTCTTAAAAACTGCTCATCTATTAAAATCAAGTTCATGCTTTAGCGATATAAAAATAAGACCCCAAAACACAAGTGTTTCCTAAGGCTGTGAAAAGATAATAAATCCTACCTCTTCATCCACATGATCTTGGCTAGACTTTTCTTTCTGTGTCCTTTGAGATGCTATTTCCATGGCCTTGGAAAGAAAACAAAAATTACTTTCCTTTACATTTAACCTATACAAGATAAATCCATTTCCAAATTTTACTATAAACTTGTTCTAATCTTTCTAGGTTATCACCTCTCCACGCTTCTGAAAGTACTTAGGGAGCTGTAAAGGTACAGGTTAGCTCTCCATCACTGACCTCACCAAAAAGGCTGCCAACAACCCAAAAGTAACAGAAAAAATCAAACTCTTCTGGCCTTCGGGATCCCTATCCCCCCTCTTGCACTAATTTTTAAATGATTCAAGTATTCACTAAAGGAAACTGAGACCCAAAGAATGAAAGAACCATTTCTTAATTCCTGAGCAGTCAGTGTCCACTAATCTTGAGTCTATGACTAATGCTGCTACAGTGTAAAACTCCAAAACTCTTTGAGCAGACAATGACTGAAACTGAGAAGCTGAGATTCTAAAGGGTTCTTTTGGCTTATAAAATGGTAAAACTAAGTATCTGTTCTCTACTTCAGTTAGAATATACATTAGAAATATTAGTGAGGGTAGAATTTTCTACCTTTAAGTTTAGACATTAAAACTAGTGCTAAAGGCTGGCCCAGTGGTGCGCTCGGTAGAGTGCAGCGCTTGGGAGCACGGTGGCGCTCCTGGCGAGGGTTCGGATCCCATATAGAGACCGGTCTGCTCACTGGTTGAGCGCTGTGCGGGCGCGACACCGAGGGTTGCGATTGTGCGGGTGCGACACCGAGGGTTGCGATCCTGTTGCTGGTCACGAAAAAAGACAAAAAGGAAAAAGAAAAAAAAAACAAAAAAAAAAACTGGTGCTATATTAAAGAGTTTAGGATTAAAATTATGTGATATTTATTTATTTCAATTAACATATGTGCCAGGTATTGATTACTACTGGCAATACACAAACAAAACTCCTATCTCTCAAGGGTTCATAGTCTAGAAGAGGGTGACAATTAAAAATAACTTAGGATAATAATAAGTGACACAGGGTGATTACTTCTACTATAGTTTTTGTGGTTATGGCACTGGCTGGTACAGGGATCAAACACCGGACCTTGGTGTTATTAGCACCACACTCTAACAACTGAGCTAGCCAGCCTCTATTACAGTTTTATAATATGAAAATATATCTATAAAAACAATGATTTCTTCCAAATTTTTCTTTGAGAAAGTTTTCTGAACTGAACTTTCAAGTTCATCAGGCAAAGCAAGATGAGCAAAGGCAGAAATGAGAAGGCATTCCCGAGAAGATTAAAAGGTAAGATGAAACTGAACACCCGTGTAGAAGCGTATGTGCCATGTGTTCAAAATTCTATGATTCAGAGGTGACAAAAAGTAAAAAATAAACTAGACTACATCAAAATGTAAGAACTTCTGTGCGTCTAGGGACACAATCAACAGCGTGTAAAGGAAACCCACATAAATTGGAGAAAATATTTGCAAATCATATATCTGATAAGGAGTTAATATCCAGAAAACAAAAAGAACTACAACTGAACAACAAAAAACCGATTTGATTAAAAAATGGGAAAAGGACCTGAATAGACATTTCTCCAAAGACATACAAATGGAAAATAAACACATGAAAAGATGCTCAACATTACTAACCACTAAGGAAATGCAAATCAAATCCAAAATAAGATACCACCTCACAACCATTAGGATGGCTACTATCAAAGGAACTGAGAAAATAATAAGTGCTGGTGAGGACGTGGACAAATTGGAGCCACTGTGCACTGTCTATGGCAATGTAGAATGGTGGTATGGTAAACAGTAGGATGGTTCCTTGAAATCTTAAAAATAGAATTCCGGGCCGGCCCAGTGGTGCACTCGGTAGAGTGCGGCGCTTGGGAGCGCAGTGGCGCTCCCGCCGAGGGTTTGGATCCCATATACAGACCGGTCCGCTCACTGGTTGAGCATGGTGCGGGCGCGACACTGAGGGTTGTGATCCCGTTGCCAGTCGTGGTATGGGCGCGACACTGAGGGTTGCGATCCCGTTACCGGTCACGAAAAAGGAAAAAAAAAAAAAATAGAATTCCCATATGATCCAGCAATTCTGCCTCTGGGTATATACCAAAAGAATTGAAAGCAAGGTCTTGAAGAGATATTTATACACCCATGTTCATAGCAGCATTATTGAAAATAGCCAAAGGGTGGAAGCAACCAAGTGTCTATTGACAGATGAATGTATAAACAAAATGTAGTATATATAAGTACATACAATAAAATACTATTCAGACTTAAAAAGGAAAGAAAACCTGTCATATACTACAACATGAATGAACCTTGAGGACATTATACTAAGTGAAATAAGCCAGTCACAAAAAGATAAACATTGTATAATTCCACTTACAAGAGGTACCTAGAATAGTCAAATTCATAAAGACAGGAAGTAGAATGGTGATTGCCAGGAGCTAGGGAGTTGATTTATGGGTACAGAGTTTCAGTTTGGGAAGAAGAAAAAGTTCTGGAGATTAATGGTGGTCATGGTTGTACAATAATGTGAAATGTGCTTAATGCCACTGAATTGTATACTTAAAAATGGCTAAAATAGTAAATTTTATGTTATGTGTATTTTACAACAATTAAAAAAAATTCTGTAATTCAGAAAGGACCCTGAGAAACAAGGGAAAAGAATTAATGACCAAAAAGCCAACAAGTTTTTTTTACTAAACATTCATGAATTTTGAGAGTCAACCTAATCTTGCCAGACGATTAAAGTCAAGAAACCTGGCTTTACCTACCACTGGCTATTTTTGATTCACCATCTGCAAAATCAGAAGGAAAAGTTCTCAGGAAGCTGTCAAAATGAATAAATTACACCATGCATCTGAGTCTTTCAGAAGTGTCACACAAATGCAAATTACTACTGCTATTTTCTATTTTTTCCCTTCCTGGCCCCATCTTACCTTTGAAAGATAAGCATCCACGTTCTCATGTGTAATGGATGGATCTGTGACAAACTCAAAGAGCTCCCGCACAGTCATGACAGCAACACTGTGCTTCAAAAAGAAATCTGTCACAAGCAAAAACATTAAGGACAGTTTTTAAGAGAGAAAAGGTTACTATTCCAACTACTTTACATATAAAAAAAAAATTTTAAACTACATACCATTTCCCAGCAAATGGTTTAAGTGTTACTGCACTGAACAATATAGTGACAAGATTTTATACCCACGTTAACTGAGTACAGAACCAACATACACAAACAACCTATTAGAAGATTCTAATTTCTACTCACCATTGACATTGGCACAATCTTTTCTCAAAAACTCCAAGGCATGTGGGTGGTCATGCTCCACAGACTGAGAAACATCGATGATGTATACATCCCCACCATGGTACCTTGTGGACCAGAGAAACAGAGGCTATGGGATACTAATACTTCACTATGTTTTTGTTTAAAAAAATTCTATTCTTAAGAGCAAAGGAGGTAATTCATAAAATGACTAAGGTAGATAAGAGGCCATCCTGACTAAAAAGAGATGAAAATTGAGAAAATTTCCAAAGTCCATTAACTGTTGATGAAAGTGGTCCATTCTGTTACTAATGTCACTGAAGACAGGGACCACATCTTACACTGTTACCATGTGGAAGACAACTTTAAGATTTTAAAATTAGTGCGACTTCATGAATAAAACACACTCACAGCATGTTAAATTCGCTGAGATCTGCATGGACAAGTCTGGCATCCTGATACATTCTTCTCATGTACTGAATGACCTGCAGGTACAGCTCCCGAGCCTTGGATTCTGATAACTGGATGTTTTTCAAGAGTGGTGCAGGCCTTAAATAAAAATAAAATGAACAACTAAGATAAACTGATCCAGAACAAGTTTTCTTGCTTTATACTACATTGTTACATGCACTTCTCTTCTACAACTCATCATGTGAGCTGCACGTGGGAAAACTGGTCTCACTACACATTTACCATTCCAAGAGTTGCCAATAAACAGGCGCTTTCCAGGACACCGAATAAAACATCCTTCAAAAGCAGGATTAGCTTCCTGTTATTCTGAAACATTTTGAGAGTTAAAAAGTAACAAAAAAATTGAAAAAATTGGTAACACTTACCACTAATACAGTGGTAAAGATTCATGAAAAGAAGTTATTCAAATGGGAAATACTCATGTACTGAATAATTCAAAGCACTTAAAAATATAGTTCTGAGCATGTAATCATTAGGCCTCCCATATACTTACATGTCATCTTTACCAATGAAACCCATGACAAGAACATGACTTCTCAGCATTATTGGTTCTGGACATGGTATCTCTGCTGTGTTTAGCCTGTGATATTATTACAGATAAAAGGACAACTGAAAAGTTGAAAAGGCATCTCAACAAATTATAATAGCTACAGTCTACAATACTGCTGTTAGGAAATAGCACCAGTGCCTCTCAATTGTATTTCTGTATTTCATAAACTCTAAGACACCAATGATTTTAAGTGGCACCATTACGTACCACCAAGAACAACAAAACACTTGCAATTAAACTATTACATCCTTGCAGCCTGTAACACCCACTCCAACTCTAGAGATGTTAAACTATGAAAAAAATGTGCATTTAGAATTGATGAAATATAGCAGATATGTCTGCAATTATCTTTTGAGTTAATCAACCTGGAAAATGCTTAATAAAAATAGCTGGACTAATAATCTAATAGCTAGTTCAGCACAAGAAGATTTCAGAAAAACTTTCAAAACAAGTAGTACTCACTTAATAATAATCTATCCAACAAACATATTACCCGTGTATAGCATATGAAAAGTTAAAAGACATTGGAAAGAGAGGGGAACCTCCAAAATTGTGAGAAAACTTGATCTCAACTAGGTAAGAGGCCTTTACCTGATAAAAAGGTGTCAGTGCAAACAAAGAGTAAGTAAATGTGTTCAAAAATGTACTGAAATAAGAAAAGGAAACTAAGATAAACAAAGAGTTTAGGACCTATGAAGATTTGTCTAAAACACCAATACCTATTAAAAAGTGACACATCATCACCACCACCTGATTGTGTCATTTTCCTGCTTAAAATCCTACAAAAATTCCTTATTATACTCAGTGCAAATTTTACATTTTTCATATGGCTTACAAGGCTCTTCAAAAGATCTATCTTTGCTGCACAAATATGAATCATGGCAGAGTATTTCTTTCATGGATTCTTAGAATACAGAATAGGTAGTTCCTATTTGTCCTATTTATTTCTTCTCTTCTGCTTACTTCAGCAGACCTAACAGAACTGAATGACCCTAACAAGTCCCTGCATTTCGGCAGGACCATGCTGGGAACTGCTGGTAGAAAGGCCTGGAGTTCATGTGCAGGACACAGCACAGACACAAACACATCCCACACAGTCACCTGATTAGGTTCCTCATTTCCTTTTCTGCCCAAGTTCTCACCATTTTTCTAGGGTTTCCTTTACAATAGCCACGACGAAATCTTCAACAAAGAAAATATTATTTCAATCATTCCATTATTCTGTCTTAATGTTTTAGGAAACAGAAATTAAATCAACTGGGGGAAAAAAAAAATCTGAGCTCACCTGAACTCCCCACTTACATACTTATCCCGATCTTTGAACACCAAAATAGATGTTTTGTAAATTTTGATTGCTCTGCTCTGTCCATTTGCTGTGCTAGCATGATATACATTAGCCTATTTTAAGTCAAAAACAAAGAAAATGAAGTTTGTGTCAAATAACTACAGTGTTTTACTTTTTCTATTTGATTCCAACCTCAAAACTCAGATGAACTGAAATAACATGCAT